CTGATGGGAATACTCCTTACACTTTACCTAATAAACTAATAAACCAGAAATTTGCTCTTATTACCGCTTGGTTCTGAGTTGGCCCGAGTCTCGAAAACCTTTTTTTCTGCTGCCAAATCGTTTCGTGGAATTAGGGCAACAGCAAGGCCCTTTGCCGTGCCGCGACTGTTTCGTCAAGCCCTGGTATTCTGAGCATGATCACTTGTTTACTTGTATTCCTGTTCATCCGCCTTATGGCGGCGGTGTTTTACTAACACTGTAGCTTGAACAAATCAGGTTAACGACATGTGCCTCGTGGCGACTCTGCTCGGTGAGGTGGTTTCAAGTGAAGAAGACATCACATTGACATTTGAGGTGATGGACTCCCGTATCCCGCAGAGGGGTGACCTCACGTTTCGTGACGGTTCGAGTAATGCTGAAAAGGAACTGGTCGATCTCTGTTATGTTTCTTCAAGAGGGACCTTTTTTGAACTACTAGTGTTGGACAAACTGTACTGGTCTCCAGGGACAGTTCGAAACGCCTTTTAAGTTTCTGGCACCCACAGACGTTTGGTAATTCCAATTCGTTCGGTACTGATTATTCGATGGACTGGCCTGTAATCTACAAAAATCTCTAGTTGTATGTGGGATTATTTTTTTGTGGACAACGCCAACTTTTTAAACGTTCTTTTCGTACATATTTTAAAGCACAGGTTCTGACGAGTCAACATTCTACAGATAAAGTATTTTCCACATTCCATAAATAAAGTCAAATAAGTTATAAGCCACACACTCTGATATAATGGCCGAGCCTCACCAGCACTGTCATGAACAGTTCAGAACACGTGATTGTCCCTGCTGCTTGCATAGAAGACTTGCTGCCGTTTCTTGACTGACTGCAAGCACAGTGGACGCAATGAATTGCTGCTCAAGAGGATTCGCCGTTAATAAAAAAATATTTGGCCAACTTTTATTTATTTACTTCTTTAGCAGGCGATACGGCTCTTCTCTTTGTCGATCGATTGCAGGTCAGATTCCTTGGTGCAAAACTCGTGTAATCGAGTCACGGCTCGCGGAGGCCTACTGCCGAACAAAATCAGACATCGCTCGTTTCGGAACTCTGTTCTCGGCCCTGATGACGACGACAATGACAACAATTTATTTACTTAAAGAAATTCAATTTTCGATGAAGATGCTGTGGTAAAGACAAGCAGTAAAAGAAGGCCACATACCGCTGAGCATCGGGAAAAGAGAAATGGGACAAATCCGGTAAAGTCGGAGATGACCGTTCGTTCCTTTAACATAGCCAGCAGCTTTGACAGCCAGCAACATAAACGATCGTCGACTGACGTCTGACGCATTAATACTTTTACTCAGCGGATGTAAATATATACGACACCGGTGCTTGGCCCTGTGGTAGGAAACAGAAACAAGTTCGGACTAACGGCTAAATGGCGTCATGGCAGATTCCGTACATTTGCATTTATGAACCTGCTGATCCACGTCAGCTACCGACACTACGGTACAGTGTTCAGGCCAGACAGCATGCCCAAGGCCGCTGCTGCGAATCAGCCACAGCCGTTAAGGTTTCGTAGCTTAAACGCACAAAGCCCGAGGCGCACTTCTTACCGTCGAAACGTTAAGAGGGTGGTGTAGAGTGACCACCGAGTGACCGAATCGCGTCCAGCAGCAGCAGCGTACGTCAGAGGCTAGTGAGCGTCGTCGAAAAAGGCCAAGTGGCGAAAGCCCGCCCTTCGCTGGTCGGAACCGCAACACAACGCGGTCTGTGGACGTAGTGTGGCCGCGTCCGAATGTCGACTGCGTTTGAAACTTGCGACGAAGAACGATACAGATCTTCGAGCAGTAATGTGCACAGTCTGAACCGACGCTGAATTGGAAATGAGTACCAAGCGCTGAAGCGGAGATGATTCAGCCACTCTTGCGAATCGAAGCAGGTTCCACCCGACGATCCGTCGAGTGAAAGCTGAATGGTGAAAAACGTCTGTTCCTCGCCCACGCACAGTACGACGGATAT